TGTACTTTTGTTTTCGAAAACCCTCCTTGCTCCACAGCGTTGCCCTATTCGTGCTCCTACGTAATACATTAGAGTAGATTTGGAACATAGCCATGGTTAATAGTACATAAGAACACGTACAGATCTCCCACCTTTTTTTTTTGATAGCAACTCACCGGAACAGCTGGACGACCCAGAACTCCGTGGCCGATATATATATATATATATATATATATATATATATATATATGTTTATATATAAATGATCTAAAGGCATCTACGCGCGACACACGTTCAGAACTTTGGTGCGGCGTCAATTCTTGACCGGTATCCAAGCGTCCGAAGGCACAAAGATGCATCACTCGGCGTGCCAAGGAAGCTTTGATCACGCGGCGAGCCCGGCGACACTTTTTTTCGACGAGTTGTACTTTTTGATACGGTTTTACACACATTGTACTCGCAAAATACATCCACACGGCGTCGATTTTTGGTCGGTATCCAAGCGCGCGAAGGCACAAAGACACGGCACTTTGGCGTGCCAAGGAAGCTTTGAACACGCCGCCAGACCCTTGCTTTCGACGAGTTGTGCCTTTTTCCTGCGACACTACGCTTTCGTAAAATTTTCCACGTGTCCACAACGACAAGTCTCAACAATACACAGAGTCTTAAAAAACTTCCTCGGCGAATGACGACGAACGAGTAGAAAACGTGTTTACAGCACGCTGGAAAACCGCAGCAAAACGCTGGCAAAACCGCAAATCGTATTTCAGCGAGGCTGCGTCCGGTGGCTTCACTTGCGGGTGCGGGAAGCGCTATCCAGCAATTGTCATTGAGATCAGTGGTCATCAAGGACGTTTAAACAGACAGGACCCGGCATGACGTCAGCCTGAGTGAAGCCGGAAGAGGCGTTTAATCCCAGACTGCCTTGCGCACCCGTTCCGAGGCCGCGGGGTAGCGCACCGGCGGTTCGTCTGCTTTCTAATCTGTTCCGGCGTGTGCTTCACGAGGCTAGCTTTCGATGCGGTCGGCGTCCGCCGTGGGCGTCCACGATGCAAATGCTTTGCAGCGTGAGTGTTTATACTTAGTTCCACATTATGTGCGAGCGAAGTCAGAACTGGAAGCGGGAGCTCGTTGTTCTGTGCGCTCCTGGCTTGCATGCGCGCTCGTGCGATCTGCTGCTGCTGTTTATTAAAAAAAATGCGTTGCGCTCCGCCAAATCCTTCACGGTGCGTCGTCTAGAGCGTCTCAATTCTAGTCACTTACTTTCTGCTGGGCAACCAGGCGTTCGCTTATGATAATCTCATCCAATTCCGACCATAAAGTCTCCCGTTAAGCGCTGTTTCAAATAACAGTGGGTGCCGCCATTACTTTCGGTGCACATAGTCGCGTTGCCACGGAAATGTCATGGCAACGCGGTTGTTTGCCCCGAAATTAATGGCGGCGCCTACTCACTAGGCTTCCCATTGGTCAAGAAATGCTCGTTGCGGCTCGTAGCCACGCCTACTTCCGTTACACCTCGCTCCATGCATTGGGGACAGGGACGCCACCTCCTGCCCATTATAACCTCCTTGGTGGTCGTGCAATCCGGAGACGGCCATCTTAGCCAGTGTACGTAGCGCTGCTGGCACTGCTCCGGAACTTCGCTGTTCCTAGCGGCTTCGTTTGCTCGTTTGATAAAATTAGTGGTAAAAACGTCAATGCAACCGAAATGTTCTGCACGTTTGGACTAGAAGACGGAATTACAGGCGGCCTTCGCTGCCGCTGAAACTCAATCAACTCAACAACTTTTATTAAACAACGTGCGCGGCGAGCTCGAAAATCGAAACCGAAAGAATATGAGCCGGGAAGGCGAAAGCTTTCTGCCGTCTGCCTGGAGAAGGAAAAGAAAGTTTCGTTTTTCCCTTTTTCTCGTGTCCGCTTGGGGGCGCGTCAGTAGAAGGGAGAAAGACTCGCCGTTGCTACTTTTTTACACCATTTTTTTCTTAGAGTCTAGGGTGTCGTAAATTCGAGGAATCGGGTAGACATCTTTCTTCGTCGCGGCATTTAGTCCACGGTAGTCCACGCAGAACCTCAGTGTTTCGTCCTCTTTCTTTACGAAGAGAACTGTTGATGCCCATGGACTACTTGAAGTTTCGACAATTTCGTCATCGAGCATTTTTTATAGCTGTTTTTGAATGACTCACCTCTTTTTTAAAGAGGCCCGGTACGGCGACTGGTAAATAGGCAGTGCGTCGCCGTTAGTAACCATGCGATGCTTCGCTACCGTGGTTTGCCGCACCCTTGATGATGTCGCGAAGCACTTGCTGAATTCGCTGAAAAGTTCAACTAGCCGTCGCCGTTCTGAAGCGGGCAGCTAGGCGTTGACATCAAGCTGCGAATGCGGCGTGCTGTTGGACTGTGACGGCGAAGGTTGCTCGTAGATTGCGATAATGGCGGCTGACGCTTGAAGTTGCTCGAAGTAGTCCACGGCGGTACCCTTCGTTAGGTACTGCGACTCCCGTCGAATGATTGTCACGAGAACAGTTTCACGTCCTTCTCGGAAATCGGCAATGCCTCGTGCGACGCCGATTCCACTTCCCAAGAGCAGTTGAACGCTGCCTTCCAGGAGAGCTTCCTGTTTTTCTTAAATCGTCGTATAGACCCCCTTTCGAAATTCGCGCGCCGATTATTAGATGGTCGGTACCCCTGCACAATGGCGGAAAAACTGCATCAAGTAACGTGCAAGTCATTCCATAGGATAGTGACCGTCGGAGCGTCGACCAACACTACGAGCCGACGAGCCAATCAAACAGCGTCGAAAGTGCAACGTCACTGCGCTCATCACCTTTTTCTGTGGGTGTGCTTTTCCTGTGTGCGATGACTTTGATGTTTTAGTCCGTCTTTGTGAAGAGATCTTACAGCTGCCAACAGAGGGCAGTGTTTCGAAAGGGGTCTATAGGATGGTGAAAACTGCGACTACGTTTGACTCGGTGTTAACAGATTGAGATAAAAGGGTGAAAGCGGAGAGCGGGATAGAGCGGTCTGCGTCTTAGTGTGTGCAAGCGGACTTGTTTTCAACAAAAAGTAAAAAGAAAGAAGAAACATACATCCCTAGTATTTATAGTTTATCTAATTGGGTATGGTAGTTTTTCTGCTTGCGGTGGTTAGCCAGAAAACATATGCGTTCAGTGACTGCATTGAAGTCTCAGTAGTGGAAGGGGCGAAATGTGCTACTTGCCCTGACGACTGTGAGTCACTTTTATTTTCAAGACAGTGTAGCTCACACCAACCTTATATAGGGAGCGAGTTGCGTAGGTGAACAGATATTTAGGAGAAGATGTTCCTGATAGTGAGATATCAGGTATAGCTATTCGTGTATATCAAACTTTCGTGAGAGGTGTACAAATGTTCGTGCTCGGGAAGTGCGCACATTCGTCTATCTCCCTTCCCACGCATAGACATTCCGTTCCGTTCAACGTTGTGGTTTGTATGGTCTTTTTCTTCATGGTTTGAGCCTTGCTTATGTGTTCCTGTCTGATGTGAGAGTCATCTATTGAATGCATCCTTTTCGGAGCACGGTTGGACTAAAAGACAGTGTTGCTCACATCAGCCTTATATAGGGAGCGAGTTGCGTAGGTGATAAAGTATTTAAGAACATATGTTCGGTCATTGTAAGATATCAGGTATAGCTATTCGTGTATATCAAACTTTCGTGAAACGTGTACAAATGTTCGCGCTCGGGAAGGGCACACATTCGTCCATCTCCCTTCACACGCATAGACATTCCGTTTCCTCTAACGTTGTGGTTTGTATGACTTTTTTTCTTCGTGCTTTGAGCTTTGCTTATCTGTTCCTGCCTGATGTGAGTGAGTCATCTATTGAATGCATGTCTGTAGGAGCATGGTTGAATTAACGCGAACGTGCGCGTGTATGCTTTGTTTTTAAGTGAGCCTTCTTTATGTGGACTCCACGTATTTGTTCACTTGCGTCTCCTGTTTTGTTTTGATTTATTTTTATAGTCTTTGCTCTTTTCCTACTTTAGGCTTGAGGGCTTAAAACTACTTACGAGCGGTACATTTCACCTAACAAGGAGCGGTCACATCTGTCGTATTAAAGTTTCTGCATACTACTAGAACCTCTGACAGTGCACATTGTTTTTGTACATGAAGTATGTATATTTATGAATGGAGCCGTAGCTTGCCTGATTAGCATTCAATTTTACGCTAGACTGATGCTTTGATAGAAGCTGCGGTAAATATGCTGGTAAACGAAGTTCACTATATATATATATATATATATATATATATATATATATATATATATATATCAAGGACATCTTGTAATCGTACCCTGGTTCTGCCTGTGAAAGGTACAAATAAGGCAAATATAATTTTTAATTTTTCCTATTTATAACGGTAACTTTTGGGAAGTACTTTTGGGATTGTTCATAAATGAACAATTACAGGACGAGGTGTAGTTATGTACGATAGTTTGTTTACACATATTCCTACTAAGTATACTTTAAATAACCGGTCGAGGTCCAAGAACTGATATCAGAAAACAAAATTGCTTCACTTTTCCCTGGGCCCGGACTCTGCAGCACAAACAAAGTTGATCTAAACAAGCAATTCAAAACATGATTTAGTATTTTGTAGTTTGTACTTGTCAGCAACTAAAACAAAACAAAAAAATATAATATCCGCCACTCTTCCTAAGTGCACAGTATCGATCACTGGTCTACTGAGACCGGAGAGTTACGTCGATGGTGTCCCTACAAAACAGCATGCAATCTGAACTACATTATTAGGAAAGTCGTCAGGTGCTAACTCTAAGGGCACGTGGCATTTTTTTAAAAAGTGTCATAATCACACCTTTTTTTTCTATTGTATCTTTTCACCGCAGTTATTGACCGTAAGCCAACCAAGCACGAGATTAGACGCGTGGGGAGATTTCAGAGTGGTGTTAAAACAACACCAGATTTTTTCTCCATCGCCTTGTATAAAATTCTCGTCTTTGTTTCGTTCTCTTCTTACCCTCAACAGCTACCAAGCGAGATCACTTCATCATCGGACTCCTTGCTGCTCCGGTTTCACACGGATGACAGCGGCACCAAGAGCGGATTTGTGGCGCTTTATTCTGCCGTCGAATGACGAAGCCTCTTCACTCCCGAAGTACGAGGTTTGATTCCAGGCAACTTGAACGAAGCTGAAGTGATGTACTCGAAGTCATACCATGATTTTGCGTCAAAAATGTTAAATTTGTAGCCATTAAAAAGCATGATGTTTTATGATCGGTGAAAAAAAAGGTGCTCAATTGCTTTTTCTTCTGTAACCAATCGTTGTCTGTTGTCAGTCTATAAAAAATACGCAAATAGAAACGCCATATAGTCTACTCATGATTACTTATTAGGTTTCCACCTCATTGGGGTTCCCTGTGGCGATAGTTTCGCCCGAGATACATTCATCCCGGCAAAGTGGATGCCTTAGGTCTAAATAACAGTCACTTAAGATGTAACTGCGTATTTTTACGTTAAAGAATGAAAATGTTCAAACAAATTAGGTGATGTGGAAGTTTTTTTTCTTTCTCTCCCCAGAGTGTGTGTAATGAGGACAACGCTTGTAAAGCAGTGAAGGAATTGAAGATTTCATGTATATAATTAGTCAACAACCCCAGCACATCTCCCTTCCTCAGAAATTGCATATAGCGGTTTCGAGGTTCTCATGTGATTTAGTAAACACATTCGCGTCAAAGTGAACGTAAGTTACATATCACTGTTGAGAAAGCGCCTGCGCTCTACCGCTACACAGGAACGAAGCAATTTCTGCAAAACGTAATTGTTGCGAATTCGAATGCCTGGAACATATGCGTTTAGGGCACCTGAACTAGGCTTACAGCGATCGCGCTGATTAAAAGTTGATGTATAACTGAAAGGAATAAGTAATTTTGATCTCAGTATACAGCCCACAAGTAAGGTAAGCAGAAGGAGCCGGTGGAGCCATCTCAGAAAACGCTGCGTCGTCCATGTCACAAAAAAGCTTCGAAGCGGTTAACATTATCGTCTCTTCGAGAGCTTTCTCCATGATGAAATGAGAGCGTACTACGAAAGAGCGATGGATCTAGTACAGCATCTAAACCGAAAAGAGCCCAGTCAGCCTTCTCTAACTTCCACTCTGGAAGGCGGGTCGAAAACGAAGGAAGGGGTATGGGGCTTTCTAAAATTATGCGGAAACGATTACTGCCAAATGGATCATCTAAAACTTTCTATAAAAAGCACGGAAGTAAAACTGGTGACGATATGGAAAGGTCTATTGGTGTAAAGGTGTTATGAGCAGCACAAAAAAAGAGTTGGATCCTTTTTATTCAGAAGACGAAGCCCGGGTGATAAAGTCGTTCTATAACTCCTCCGCAAGATTCCTGACGATAACTTCCCCACAAAGGGTGGTGGGCGTTAAAATCACATAAAACTAAAAAAAGAAGGTTTAGGCAGCTTATCTATGAGACCTTGCAGCTAGCTCATGGAGCTGCTGGGGAACGTTGGGTGGGAGGTAAAGAAATACGAGGGTGATGAGACGGTCAAAGAGGATGAGAACTGCCACTGCCTCGAGTGGCGTTTGCAAAGGAAGCTGGACAACTCCGCTCTGCACTACTGCTGCGACACCACCGAAAGGGTTCGGAGAAAGGCGGTCCTTCCTAAAAACCTGGTGACGACGTAAAACCTGTCTGTGTTTGTCATTCAGATAAGTCCCCTGTAAACAGAATGCCACAGGACGAAGCTCAGTGAGAAAAAAAATTAACGTCATCTATATTACGAAGAAGGTCGCGACAGTCCCACTGCATGACACCTAGCTGTTTAATCATAGCAGTGCTAAAATAAAAAGAAACCTTAATTTATAAACTGCAAAAATCGGTCAGAAACAGGTTGCAAAGTTTTAAAATCAATTTTTATGCGCAGGGTATTTTTTTTTTTTTTTTGCGCAGTCATTATAGATAGTGGAAGCAGCAGGGGAGGACTCCGATCCTGAGAGGATAGCCTCGTCGTCGGACCTGAGCCCCTACTCTTCCATGGGCTCTTCCGGTGATACCGTCAGCTGACCCTTAGGAGTCAACTGCCTCGACGACTCACGGGGCTTCCTCGGGGCAGTGGTTCGGAATGGCTGGTCCCGGCCCCGAAGGAGCACAAAGCCAGGGGGGGGGGGGCATCCATTGCTTTGGGGCGAATGCTGGCGGGCCAGCCCCCTCCCTGGGCTTGGGACATGTCGCCGTTGGCACCGTTCCCGTGGGTTTGGGTGGGGACTCCGGTAAGACCCACAGATCATCCGGAGACGTCTGGGCTCCCGCCGATGCCATTACTGGCCGTGCAGGCCCCCTACGTAAGACCTTGGCATACCCATCTTTTGCCAAGAAAGAAAACAGTTTTTTCGCCTTATTGTGGGGAATATTTTCATTTGCCTTCAGAGTAACGATTTCCTTCTCTTGCTTCCGCAATGAGCAGGAGCGAAAGTATGCCGGGTGAGGACCGTCACAGTTGGCGCATTTCGGATCGTTCTCACAGGTGTCGACAGCATGTTCTCTGCAGGAGCATTGGGCGCAAATGTCGGCTCCCCGACAGCTCCGTGACCCATGGCCAAATTGTTGGCACTTGAAGCCCCTCTGAGGGCTCGGCACATAAGGCCGCACACGGCACTGTAGGCAGCCTGCCTTCATACCTTCTGGCAGTGTTGTCAAATCAAAAGTCAGAATAACGTGCTAGGTTTTCCGTTCAAAACTGTCTCGACGGATGGTGATGCGGCGCGCAGCTACAACCTCTCGACCAGAAAGGCCCTCAACGATCTCTGCCTCGAATGTTTCAAGCAAGTCATCCTCAGAGATTACTCCCTGTACGGTGCTTAGCTTGCGATGAGGTGTTATGATAACTTTGTAGTCTGCGACGGAGTAAAAAGCTAGGAGAGTTCACTTTGTTGTTTTGTATTAATTTCAACAAAATTGTCACCCGATGCCATCTTTTGGTATTAAAATTCATTTCAATAATACCTTCAAGTGCTTTTGATACGAGAAAAATCAATAGCTTTGCAAGTGGCTTTTCGTCTTTTGAGTGAAGTACTAGGAAATTTGGGAATTTTAAGAATTCAGTACGTTTAGCGGGATGGTCTTTTACTTCGGTGTGGACCCTTTTAAGGGCCCGATCAGTGATTTATTGCCTGGAACCCATAAAGATAGGAGAGAAATTCAGTGCCTGGGTGCCCACCGCGGAGCCCAAGAAGGGGGTAGGTAATGTGCCGTACGCTAATATAAATAGGGGGTGTATAGGAGTGCACCCTTTGTCCCCATATGTAACCCCCCAAAACTACATTTGGGCGTTCAGTTCACTGACGTCGAGCTAGCGAAACTAACTTTTATGAGCGGTTTGATAGCTGTTGAATATAACTTATCATATAACTGTTGAATATAAGCTTAGACAAAAAAACACTGAGGTTCTGCAGCAGGGCCAAAAAAACTTTGATTGTCCTATTGCAGCCTTTAACACGTACATTATCTATTTTAATAAGTTTTTTCAGTCGACTATCAAGACGCTCTTGAAAGTTGGTATCGTCGGTTCGACGTCTGTGGACTGAACATCGAATTGTTGTTTTGGGGAGTTATATGGGACAAAAAAAACCCTACACCCCCTATTTTATATGGGACCCCTATACACCTCCCATTTTTAGAGTGTAGGCTCGGCTCACACAATTACTCTACCAGTGCTGCCCGGGCGCTATACCCAAGCGTGGTTGCAGGGACAGGACCTGTTTCCACTCAAGGTTGGCCCTTGCCGCCTAAAAAGATGAAAAAAGAAAGGAAGAGAGTGTGGAACAAAAGAAAAAGAGGTGGAAGGAAAAGGGAAAGAAGGCAGAAAAGTGTAGAAGGGGCGACTGACTGAATCATCCTGATCGGGCCAAGCCAGGACACCCGTCTTCAAGAAGCAGGGGCCGAAGTGGTATATTGTTACGGGTGGTGACCATAAGAACAATAAATAAACAGGAAGAAATATATTGCTTCGCCCAAGGGTCCAAAAGTACCTTGGGCTCAGCTCGACGAACACGATCCTCTTTTCCCCGGACACGGGTTAAGCCACGCACAGCCAGGCGTGGTGGGAGTACCCACATGGCTCGGGGTTCGTAGTGACGCCACTCACCAAGCACCTACTAAAGCAGGTGCCCTCTGCGTTAAGCAAACATAAAATAGCCCTAATGTAAAAAAAAAATAATTGTTTCCTGCTGTTTTGGAGGGCTGGCGCGTGCCGAAAATCAATGCTTGTAGGGCTAGGCGTCGATTAAAATTTTCAACCCGATTTATCGCCACGATTTAATCGAATATTAAATCGATTAATCCGTTTCACTCATTTCCGTGCATAATAGTTAAAGGGCAACATTACACATGCGTTTCTCTCTTTTCGTGTGTTTGGTGAATACGTGATAAACGGCACAATGCACCAAACTTGTTTTTTTAAATTAAATTTGATGTGTAGTTGAGAAAAGTCAAGACACCCACACTCACAAATTATTACATCAGCCGCAGATGCAAAGAGGTTCGTTGATATTCTCCGACAATAGCCGACTCCTTTCATCGTCCAAAACAGTACCTGCTTCGCTAAATTGACACTAGCTCGGCGTTGAGGTGGCTGGTACATGTATAGCCTTCTCCACTTGTTTGGAGTTACAAATATCGCCCCTACAGTTGAGTTTAAGTAGACATTTTACCTGAAGTTTGCCTTCATACAGGTGTACTCGTCCTCGTTTGCGCGGTAAAAGCGTGTATATTTTTTGTCTTGTTTGTCAAAATTGAACCGATTAACCTGCTAAACGATTAATCGAGAATAAATCATTAATGAATTAATCGGTAGGTTTATTCATCTAGTGCCCAGCTCTAATTGCGCGTAATAAATACTCCTTATGTAGATTACTAGTAGCACGCTCGCGTATATCCGATTCACAGTCCGACGTAAAAGCTAAACTGCAAATTAGCCCGCATTCAATAAGCACTGTGCCCCTCATATTACAACCCCGGCATTTGACGTCTGCAGGCGGAATTAGTGTACGTACTGTAATACAATTTTTGTGATAATTAATTAACATTGGAAGAAGCAAAAAACATTGTACAGAACTGCTTGATC